TTTCTCTTACCCCCTCCACTAAATCAGCAACTTCAGTTCCGAGTGATCTGGAAATAGCCTCAGAAGTGACAAAAGAATCGTCAACAGTGTCATGCAAAAGCCCAGCTGCCACAACAGTAGAATTGGCACCAACTTTTGCCAACAGAACAGCTGTCTCCAAGCAATGCTGCAAATAAGGATGCCCACTTGCCCGCATCTGCAAAAATAGATAACATCAGAACACTCAATATCTTAAATCACTATTTGGCTATCTCAAAAAAAGGGCAGAAATTTTTTTGAGAAAAAAGGAAGATGCGAATACAAAATTATCTGCTTCACAAAAAACACACGAGTACAAAAGTACCTGGCCTCTGTGTGCCTTCTCTGCTTCAGAAAAAGCCTTGACCACAAAATCATCCCTGAACATCAGATGTCTCGACTGGGCCTCAGAAAGCATATCCCTGGCATAAGGCGGCAAGTCTGTCCCCACGAAACTATCCTCCATGTTAAAGGTAAGTTCATGTTCGCATGTAGATAAATCGAAGTCGTTAACATCCAAATCCAAAGGCGATGCCACGCTTGAACCCAACGCGTGCCTCACGAACCCATTAAACATTCCCCCCGTCCCCGACCTAATCGACCCGAAATCAACGCTAATTCGCCCAGTCCCGAACCTAATCGATCCAAATTCCCCGCTAATTCTCATCGGCGGGCTCCGGGAGCTCGACCCGATCGAGCTATTAATACCCTGAAGCACGGACACCGGGCTCTGGTGCGCCTGATCTCGTTTCAAGGACGAGCCCAACGACGAGTTACGGAAGGAGGACCCCAATTCCTCAGCCCTATCATGCCACATCGAACCAAACTCCTCGGCTCCGGAGGCGATCTTCGCGGATTTGATCGGCGGCGATGAGAACAGGCACGAAAGGCCGCCGATAACAGGCTTCTGCGAAGGAGAAGCGGCGGCTGAAGACGCTGAACGAGCGATGACGTCGAATTCGTGCGACGCGTGGGAGCTGATCTGGTGCGGCCCGGAGCACAGGCTGTTTGGTGGGCTCGCGTAAAGCGCTACCGTCGATACCGCCATTCAAATCAGTGACAATTTTCCAGCCGCTTAAGCAGATGATGGTGTAGAAAAGGGGAATTTTAACAAGAATTTGAGGTTAGAAAAACCCAGAAACTGAACGAATGGAGAGAGAAATGTTTTCCTCTTTGTTCTTCAGCTGGGATTTTTATTCCGGCGTGGAGAGGTGCTATCGAATGCCACGAATGGCGGACCCGAAAAGACGTAAATGCCCTCGCACAAAAGGATTTCATATAAATCGGTACACGAGACTAGATATTAAATGAGTTATTTTCACATGTTTCGTCCGATTTAGTGTAAGAGCAATTATAGGTTATCATCTATTTTTCATTTTTTTAATCATCATTAAATTTAAAAAAAAATAAGGTTATAATCTATTTTACACAAATTTTAATTAGTGATTGTTTTTTTAGCTATAACAAATATGAGCACGTATTATCTCACTAACACATCTATCTATATATATATAGAAAGGTTTGGCATTTACCTAAAATAGTAACTGAATTCCCGCCTAAATAATTCGTTTTTACTTTTATTAGTAACTTTTTTAAATATTTTGAAAATTGGCGGCAATCATTTGAAATTCAAATTAAAAAAATTAATACAATTAATGTACAAAATCTGGTCAAATATCTTCCAAATAAATAAATAAATAAGTATAATTGCTGTACAGAATCTTGTCAAATATCTTCTATATAATAAACTTTATTAAGTAACTATTTAAATTGATTTTTACTGCTTTTAATCGCACCTGCAATGATAGTACCATTGTATTTTCTTTTATTCAATATGTTGTTATTTTCATACTGGAAATACAAATTAATAATGGATATTAATATTTTTTTTTTTTATTTTGTTGTTCGGTCAGATTTATTAAGTTGAATGCAACTGAAAATGGAAACAAATCTTTCATTATTCATTAATATTTTATTATTTTATTTGACATAAATTTTAATTATTATATTTATATATGTGTGATGTAGCTTAGTAATGGTAAAAAATCGAGAAATAGCTTAGTAATGGTAAAATGTTTGGTAAGATACAATTTTATATATACTAACTGCTTGACTAATTAAAGTGTTTGTCAAATATTTATTGAATCAACCAAATGAGTATTTTATGAATGTAAATTATCTTATATTCAATCCCAACTTGGATTGTGTTCCATACATATTTTACTTTTGAGAAAAAAATTGAGGTAATCATCAATCAAATTTATTGATGAACCAATTGATTTGAGCTTACATATAAACAAAAATATATATAAATATATATGTTCGACATTTACTTGAAATAGAAACTAAAATCTCGCCTACAATTTTAAAAACTATTAAATTTAATAATTTAAAAAAATCGAAAAATTCAACCTCTATAAATTAATTAATTGATTCCTGTATAAAATTGGAAAAATTAATAAATTTTAATTTGATATTAAGTTAGCTATTTTATTTTAGGTATCAGATGACCATTTTTATTTTTGGTAGGAATTGTGTTAATATTAATAAATGTCCAATTTTATGGTATAAATTGGTCGACTTTGTTTTGGTATAAAATGTTCAAATTTAAATGGTATGAATTTTATTTGGTATGGATAGAATTGCATTTTAAAATTTTGAAAACAAAATAAATTGTATGAATTTTATTTAGTATGGTATGAATGTCAAATGTGATTTGTCATAAAATCAAGGTGATATGATTATCAAATCTTAACATATTCTCAGAACAACTTGTCATAAGATATTAATGATAATTTGAAAAATTAGTATATATTCTTTTTGAAAATAAGTAAAGATATTCGAATAAACATTGTTTAATAAAACATAAGTTTGTAATTAAGTTCAATAAAATTAGTTTATAAATTTGAACAGTAAGGTAACAGACAATAAATCTAAAAAATTTCAAAATAATATATATATATATATATATATATATATGTGTGTGTGTGTGTGTGTGTGTGTGTGTGTGTGTGTGTGTGCGCGCGGGCGTGAGTGAAATATATAAGAAAAATTATTGTGTAGTCCATATTTAAGTTCCATGATTAAAAGTCAAATAAGTAATTATTTATAAATTACACGTCAATGTTATCGTGAACATAAATAGAATAATCAATTATTTATATTTTAATAAATTACTAACTACTTAAATTGTTTGATTTGGACCGTTTATACAAACATAAATTCATTTTAATTAATGAGTTAATGTGACGGACCAATGAAGACTGGTGGGCACATGCCACGGAACTGGTGAACGATTTGGGCCTGACACTGGCCCGGAACTGGCGGGATCTGAACTGCTGGATTCGGCGAAGTCTGCTGAAAACCGTCTCGGTCTCCACCGTCTCCTCTGCCTCTACCCCTTCGAGTTTTATAATTATACTTATTATTTACATAGATCTTTAAATATATGATAAAATTTTTGCCGAAATATTTATTTTATGTAATCAAAGTTT